ATAAAAGGAACACTTCTACTATGCTATATAGCATTGTAGCACTATGAAAGATGTTAGTATATAATAAAAAATATAATAATCATTCGAAATGTGTTAGTTAATATGCATACTAGTTTTATTAGGAGCACTTGTACAGTGCCGAGACTCAACTATGTGATGGATTCAAAATTGTTTTACAAACTCAACGGAAACTCTTTTTTGACAGCATTAGAAAAAAGTAATAGCAAAACTGTTATATATTTCAAATAAAGTGTGGGGTAATCTAAATAAATATTTCACATTATGTGACAACTTATCAAAACACTTAGATCGACCATCAAAGATCTCCCTCAGGATCAGAGTGTTGTTTGAGAATTATGTCTAGAGGGCACATGTACTTGATAGAGAAGTGACATTTATTTCTACTCAAGCCACTAGATTGTAAGATAAAAATAATCCCCTTAACTTTTGCCAATATAAAGCGCACAAAAAAAAGACAGAAAATCTCAGAAAAAAAAAATCAAAAAGTTACGTTGTTAAGAAAGAAGAAAGTTAAAACAAGGGAATCCATATGTTTGAACCTGTAGGAGTGAGGTTCAAGAGAATGGGTCGAGATGAGTAAGCAATGAGAGTCTGCTATTGGTTGAAGAACTAAGGAAGGGGAGAATGTGATTGAGAGAGTGATATTTTAGAGAGAGAAGTAGGTCGTTTATAGAGATAGAGTCTGAAAAATCCGATCCCCCTCACCCACCGGAGTAAATGCCATATTTATAGGCTACATGGTGGTGGGTGAGGTATCCAATGTGACATGACTACTGACATGTCAGAAGCTTAGGGCATGCCTCTACCTAGGACTAGAAGATTTGACTATGATTACACCTAGGACAATGATGTGACTACTCTTCGGTAAAGACAGCGTTGTTTTCCTGGTTTCTTGGTCTGGTCATGGCTTAGTTGAAACGTCGTCGTTCGGGGTCTGGGGTCTTCGTCCGCGTGGGCGTGATCCTCGTGCGGGCGCCTTGGTTTGTTAGAGTAATCTTTGTTGATGATGTATGATAAACATTATGTTTCTTCAACCATTGACTTAGCATTGGTCAAAGAGTCGAAACAAAAATGTTTTAGGTTGTAATAGTAAGGAAAATTTTGCAAATCCACATTAAAAAAGTTGGAAAATTATACACTAAATGACCATGTTAAGAAAAGAACCATTGATAGTGTGTGAGAGTGTCTTGTTTTGAGATTTTAAGCCAACATATAGACAACAATCATGAGTTGTGGGTTAGTCCAAACTTCAAGAATTATTAATTGATATATATTGAGTAAATAAAATTTAATAGCCAAACTTTTCAAAATTTTCAAATTATGAGCTCGTAAGTGCTAGTTATCTACTAACTAGGATTAAAAGTCATGTGTAATCGTAGAGGTCTAGTGGGGACCGGATCAGGTGCATAACCTGTGGTTAATAACCCTATGCATAAACCAATTAGAATCCACCACATCAGTGCTCCTTCTCTCCCCCTGGATATTAGTCGGTATATGCTATATGGATACTAGTTTGTGATGTTTTGAATACTAGTCTGTCCTATCTAGATACTCAGCAGACTTGGATATTAGTTCATACATTTTGGATATTAGTTATTATATACTAACGAATCTTCAAGTTAGCCGAATAAATAGGTTGCACATGGACTTGATAGAGAAGTGATATTTATTTCTACCCAAGCCACTAGATTGTAAGATAAAAAAAAATCCACTTAACTTTTGCCAATATAAAGCGCACAAAAAAATAAAATAAAGAAAAGACAGAAAATCTCGAAAAAAAAATCAAAAAGTTAAGTTGTTAAGAAAGAAGAAAGTTAAAACAAGGGAATCCATCTTAATTCTTCTTTTTAAGAGTCTCTTCATTCAAAAAAATTTTGTCCAATCTTATCTTACTATATATTATGGTTGTTAAAAAATAACTTATTGCAATATAACCACTTCGAGAATTCACAAACAATTTTTTTTAGGTAATGTTTATTTTTTATCCAAACTTTTTTCAGATTCTTTAATATTATCCAAACCTATCGAAATACTAAGATTTAGATAATCGTCTTTCAAAGTGAACTATATTATTTTATATTTTGTTATTAAACACTCCCTTCTATCTAATGTATATATTTATAAAATAAAACAAGTATTGTATAGCAAAATATATGGATAGAAACATGACGATGTACAAGTATTATATGACATGTGTGAATGTTAGAGTAATCTTTGTTGATGATGTATGATAAACATTATGTTTCTTCAACCACTGACTTAGCATTGGTCAAAGAGTCGAAACAAAAATGTTTTAGGTTGTAATAGTAAGGAAAATTTTGCAAATCCACATTAAAAAAGTTGGAAAATTATACACTAAATGACCATGTTAAGAAAAGAACCATTGATAGTGTGTGAGAGTGTCTTGTTTTGAGATTTTAAGCCAACATATAGACAACAATCATGAGTTGTGGGTTAGTCCAAACTTCAAGAATTATTAATTGATATATATTGAGTAAATAAAATTTAATATCCAAACTTTTCAAAATTTTCAAATTATTAGCCAAACTTTTTGAAATAAAGAATATTAGCCAAATATTTTGCATCACATCAAAATATTAATCATTTGTCTGTTATCGTCAATAATTTTGGCTAATATTTTATATTTTGAAAGGTTTGGCTGATAATTTGAAAAGTTTGAAAGATTTGGGTTTGGCTAATAAATTTTATTTACTCTATTATATAATATACTAAATTTGAATTTCTTCATAGATAAATTTTAACATAAGATCGTTTGCCGAGACTTCATGAAAATGAGTCAAGATTAGAGAAGTGGATCATCGTAAGGGGTGTGTCAAGTTTCACTTAGGATAAACACAATTTATCCAGTAATCAAGTATATTTATCCAATAATCGAAACTCTTTAATAATTGGTTGAGAGTTTGTCCTAGTTCGAGAATCACGAATTGTATATGTTTTATAAGATAATAAATTTGAGCACTTTGGTTGACAAATCTTTATATACTATTCTAAACGGGACGTGATATTCCTTCTATGATTTATGATTAGAGAATCGAAGCATCATAGGTGACCCTGCTAAGTATTGGGAATTTTTAATACAGACATATCACATACTCACTTATGAAGTAGAGTATAGAAAAAGTAGAAGATTAAAAAAGATTTAAATATATAGATAAATTAATTGATATGAATGATAAAATGAAATTCTCTCCGGCCAACGGGCCGGGTAAAAAACTAGTACCTACTATTCTCAATTGTACCGATACGAGGGCAATGTCCTCACTTAAGTGGTTATTTCTTGTCTCTGGTTGAGCTCGTAAGTGCTAGTTATCTACTAACTAGGATTAAAAGTCACGTGTAATCGTAGAGGTCTAGCGGGGAGCGGATCAGGTGCATAACCTTGTGGTTAATAACCCTATGCATAAACCAATTAGAATACACCACATTAGCGCTCCTTCTCTCCCCTTGGAAAGCCTTTAATTCCCCCCCCCCCCCCCCCCATTAATTGTTAACGAACGATTTCTCAGTCGTTTAAAGTCGGAATTTCTTTTTTTAAACAGTTAGATCAGATTAATTGTGCTCATCAAAATGATATCCACTCTGATATATTTTGGAACAAAAAAATTTGATCAAGTTATTACCAGTCTATACCATATGGCATTGTCTGGTATTGATTAAATAAGAGCATACCATATGGTATGAAAAATACCACCCCATACTAGGGTGGTATCGTATGGTATAGAGTTGGTAATGAGAGTTATGAAATTTTTTCACCCAGAAATTTTTGAAATCCAATAGATCATGATTAAATCGTTCCTTCTGTGCAAAAATTTCCAAAAACGAAGGAGATACCATATGGTATAGAGTTGGTAACGAGAGGTATGAAAAAAAACTCTTAAAAAATATTGAAAATGGATCTCATTTTGTAGAGCACAACGAACTCGTTCCATCCTGTGCAAAAAAAAATTGAAATCCGAGTTAGAATGAAGAAGATATCATCCGATTAAGAAAAATAGAGGAAATAAAATGTTTTTAATTTACAACTCTTAGATCCGCACCCACTTAAAAGAAGGGTCCATATTTGGTTACTCATAGTTATGCACTCTAAGGTTATGCACCCATAAATGACGGCTCAAATTATCGACCATAAGCCATAATGACTTTTTGAAAAGCTAGAATGCGAGGTAAAATTCCACCGGCAAATAGACCCGGCTATAGACTATGTAACATTCCAAACCTTTTCTTGATCAAGATATTGTCCGCTTTGGGCCTTGACCCTCACGGATTTTGATTAGGGTTCAATTGAATGTGACTTCCCATAAAGTCTTCCCATAAAGTCACCCATCATTATTGTACTTCACACTGAACACTTTTAACTCCGAAGTTCTTAAAATAACTCTTTTATTAATTCACCCCACACCACTTCTTGTCAGTTAACACCGGTTTCTTACTTATAAACTGTTTGGGGGTGTTACTAAGATACTCCGCCCACAGACTAAGTAGGAGGGCGCACAATCGGCGATGTCCAACGCTCGATACCCGCTACAGGTATATAAGGGCTTGAAACCCTCCAAAGAATGAGACTTCTTCTCTCTCTTGACTTTCCACTTTCCACTATCTCTCTACACTTTATCTTTCTACCTTGTTCTCTCAATTCTCACCTGAAACATAAACTGACTTGATCGTCGGAGTTTAATTCCGGGGCAACCCCGACTCTTCCACAGGTTTCTTCCTTCCCGATGAGATCAGACGAACGGATCGTGAGTCAACCCTACACCAACAAATATCATTGTTCATACCTCGAGCTAGATGATACAAACATTAACCATGGATCTCTCCCGTGCTTTGTGGACGTGGGATTTATCTAAAGTGTTTACGAACTAGTCAAATTAAAAAAAAAAAACCTAAATAAAAGCAAAAATAAAAATTATATAAATATGGCCATTGCATAATAATTCAGCTACTTTCGTTACTTATTCCCAGTCAGGATTGACTTATTGACGGCACACAAACCTAAACCTCCCCAGTGTATAAATTTCCAGCAGATCAGAAAACAAAAGAAACAATAAAATTTGTCGCCAATTAAACATGGTTATTATCATGTTTATCAAGCAAAGTCTCGATGCGGTTGACTTCTGGTTCTGGATCCTCTTCTTGATCTTGTTGCTTCCTTGCTAGTGTGGCCTTGTAACCTCCGTACAAGTGAGAAGCGAATCCCCAGAGGCAGAGTGCCAAAGCCATCCCTTTCTCTGCGCTGAACCCTTCTCTTAGGAAGATCACAGCAAAGACCTGTTGGACTGGGACCAACAGTGACGATAAGATGCCAGCAAATAAGGAAGACGATGTCATCACCACTCCAAGAACACCAATAATGTTCAGCTGCAATGCTACTACTGCCAGAAATACTACGAGGTAGTAATTCGTCTTCCCCAGCCCGAATTCCGCCGCCTCTTTGCTCATTGTCTGCATTATATGATTGACATCCAGTTACGAAAACTTGGAATCCAGTGCCTAAAATGGTGATAAAATGATGCTTACATCTTCTAGTGGTACTTTTTTTCTTTTCTTTTCTTTTCTTTCTTATGCTTGTTGGTATACTATATAATAACATTGGCCAACTACGACGAGTGGACAAATTATCTGGCTTGAAGATTCTTTTCCGGCCCTCTTTTTGGAGATGTGATAGAATGATGCGCACTACATATATAATAGTGTGCCCTTTTGTTATTCAACTAAACTACTGCTTTTCAATATTCTCAAACTGTTATAAAGAGGGAGAGAATCCAATCATCCATGTTTTATTTAAGCTAGATAATTGGTCCACTCCACTCCTCCTACTTTGCCAATATTTTTATGGAAAAGGTTTGGTGGCACTGAAACAACCATATCACTTAATTTGGGTAATTAGCATAAATGGTAACAAACCTTTGCACTTAGTACAAAACGGTCACAAACCTTTAATTTGTAACAATACGGTAACAAAATTTTGAAATTAAATAAAATGGTCATCGCTATTTAATTTGTGACCGTTTTGTTTTAAATGAAAAGGTTTGTTACTGAATCGTTACAAATTAAATGTTTGTCATGTTTTGAGGTCGGGTAGTTTGTTCGTTAAGTATATGACACTAACCACTTGAACGACATATAAGATGTCAGCTCATGTGTTCATCGACATATTTGCTTTGCCAAATAAGAATGCCCTCAGTTGACCTTTCAATTTCGATACCAATCTATAAAAAACAAATTTCGATACCAAGAAAGTAGACAGAGTTTTTTCAACTAAAAAGCAGTCTGGAACCCGTTGTGAGCCATTTAATTCTCTCATTGTCTTCCTTTATGACGATCATATCATTCACATACAGTAACAAAACCACCATACAACTAGAGCGAATTGTAACGGTGATTGAGCGTTCTAACTTTTGAACTTAATTTGTACAAAACGGTCACCAAAAGTCTAATTTGCAACGACACCGGTAACAAAAGTTTGAACTGGTATGAAATGGTCACACTGTTTAATTTGTGACCGTTTTGTTCTAAGTAAAAGTTTTGTTATCAAATGGTTACAAATTAAAGGTTTGTGACTGTTTTGTACTAAGTGCAAAGGTTTGTGACCATTTATGCTAATTACCCCTTAATTAATTCACACATTTTTGTTTTTATTCACGTAAATATATACTTATTATTCACACCATATATATTGGTGTTTATTCACGTGATAATAACGATTATTTATGCAAACGCTAATAGTTATTCACACAATTTAGTGTTTATTCGCATATATATGCTTATTAATTCATGTCATTGTAAATTAATATTGAAAATTTTCAAATATACAAAAATGAATTTCGTTGTGTAGATTATGATCAGTGCTACTCATTTTTATAGAAAAATTGAAAATCCGAAATAATTTCATAAAATATAGTCGATATAAATTATTTAATGAATTTTATTTGCCCGAAAAATCATAACTCTTACGTGATATTACGTTAATAATAATTAAACGATGTAAATTAATGCAAAAATGAGTGAGTTAGATGTTGTGGCTTTTTAGACGACTAGGCCGGTAAATTAATTGATGTCCACTTCATTTTGCTAGAGTAAAAAGTGGCTGCTCATATTATATACAAGATAATAATTTGTGAAGGGTGGATGTAGCTAGAAAGCGACTAGGGTAAATTAATTGATGAAATAGGAATGTGTAATATTCGTACCTGAAAGTCTCTATTTACGATCATGGGAACGGTACAGAAGAAGGTGGCCGCCACTAAAATCACGAACTGAACTTGCATGGCCACATCGAAGTTGACGGCCACGCCGCCGGCTTTCGCCTTCGCCTGAGCATACTCAACCAGAGTCAAGAACAGGCCGTGAAAGCACGCCGCGCCGACCGTCATACAAAACCCCAACACGTACTTCCTCAGAGTCTCCCCCTCGGGCACGTCTTTCTCCATGTGTAGCCCCAAAGCAGCCGATCCCAGCGTCATCAGAACGACGGCGTTGACCGAGTACGGAGTGAACTTCTGCCTCACCACGAGGTAAGCCGAGACGGCGGTGAAGACGAGCTGCGAGGAGCTTATGAGGGAGTGGACGGAGACGGGAAGGTACGCGGCGCCGTATGCGTAGAGGTAGCAGACGAAGCCGACGAGGAAACCTAAGAGAACGCATGAGATGAATAGCCGCCTGGGAAGGCCGAGCTGGCGGCGGCGTGGGGCCAGGGCGATTGGGATGAGAAGGATGGGGAAGCCGGCGGTGTTGGTCCAGGCGGCGAGCCACCGCTTTTGGCCGCCGTGGGTGAAGTAGATTCGGAGGAGCATGGGGCCTCCGACTTGGCCGATGGTGAGGATGAGGGAGTTGAAGAGGAGGGCCAGATGTGTTTTGATTGGCGTTTTGGTCTTGGTTTCGGCTTCCATCTCCATATATCTAGTGTAGTAGTGTGGTTGAGATATATCTCCGGTTGAGTCGCGGCAGCTTGTATATATAGAGGTACAATGAGATTATTTATTTTTGAAGTTAAAGATCAAAGACTTGCTAGTTACGTTGTGTGCATGTGATGTAAAGAACTAAATCTACATAGATGCTCAACCAGCTGCGGGGAAGCAAGTGTAAATCATGTGAGAATATTTGGTTCGACAAATTTGATATGAGTTGTATGGGCGGATTGGTGCTAAAGGGCAGTATCTGTTTCAGGAGCAACATGGACGCGGGTGTTTAGGGCTGGGCATGCGGGCGAGTCACCGGCGGGTTTGGTCCGATCCGGCCGCATTTGATCCGAATTTCGTTATGTGGGTGGGTTTGTGGGTTGATGACAGGTTGTGTTGGGAGGCATTTGTCGCGGGTGGCGGGTGGGTTTGTGGGTTGGTGCGCGGGTGACCCGCTCAACTCAACAGCAAAAAGAACAAAGTCATTGGCGTTGGAGAGTGGAGGGTGGAGACGTTGACGGAAACTATGGCTACTCCTAGAGATTGAATCTCAAAGTCAATCTTCCAAATCTGGACTTCCCTCTTCTTCCCTTTATTTTTTTCCCTCTCATTCTTGTGCCCAAACTCTCTTTCCTCCGTTAAATTATTTTTCTTAGTTTTCTGCACCCGATAATCATCTCCATCCGTACAAAACTCCTCCACAGTAGAATTTCTATATAATTTCATAACTGATTAGACTTTTTTCTTCCTATTTCATCTTCTTGTTTCCGCTCGATAACTCTCCACCAATTATCCTGCCACTTGAAGTGAATCTCAAATTTGGAGGGTGAATGGATATGTTGAAATGAATTTTTATTTTACATATTGACATTATAGAGGGGGTTCTGAAATATAAATGAATCATGTCAAATTGACTCTTTTATATTATGTACATCGTGATGTGGGTGAACCCGCAAGGCGCAAACCCACCGGCATCATCCGTCATCCACCCAACCCAACCCGAGAGTAAATATAAATGAGTAGTGGGTTAAAAATTGATAATCCATTCAACCACGGATGGGTGCATTTTATAGTCAAAATCCACCTAATTAACCCAATAACAACCCCTGGGTGGATGTAAAGCCTGCCTGATTCCTCAATCCCCCATATCTTTTGGGACAGACGCTACTGCGTCCTAATCATAATTCCTAAATAAATTTGTTGAATAATGTCCATTGTATTATGATAAATCACATCGAATTCGATGAGTGTCAAAATTCAAACTAAGACCTTGACAAACTAGGTATTCGCCTGCAAAATTTTATTCTCTATGGACATGGTATACTTGCACTCTCCACTCTCAATTCAAATGTTGTATGATTTGCCAAGCTTGATGTTTTTGTAACCCTTATCCTAAGCTAACTTCAAGGCAAGCCCTTAGCCTCTCCTTGCCACATCACGTTGAAAAACAATGAAATTGTGCCGTGTATGAATTACGATTTTGTTAATTGTTTTAATTATTATTTTTATCTTGTTGACTAAACCACATCTTCTGAAATTTTGGATCCGTCACTTCCTATAAATATGGACAACAACTAGTGTGGAATCAACAAAAAAAAAATACAAGAATAATTTATATTAAGTATTAGATTTGTAACTTTTGCAATCTCTTCCATTCCTTTTTTTAAATTAATATATTCCATCGCCTTTATTAACGAGAACAAAGAAAAAGGCTTTAGCAAACACCAAACGGTGGATGAACTCTGAATTTATGTGGATACAAGTAGTTTTTGACGCATATTTTAAAGCTATTCGTCTCCCTAAAATATGTTATTCGTCGTTCTTATTTTTGTTACAATGACTCTAATATTTTTTGTTTAATTTGGTTTTCAAGCGAAGGCGGTTCATTTGTCCAATGGAAAACTTCGACAATTGCCGATTCCATCAGACCCTGCTCCTCATATGACCTTAGTTAGATCGGCGATCATTCGTTGTCGGATGCCAATAATGCTTTGATTATTGCCGATTCTGTCGAGTTGTAGGGTTCTCGATATGGATCTTAGATCCATCGGCGACAAGTTGTCACCGGATGCGAATTCGTTACGCAAAGCTTATTCAATCGGCCTTAAATTGCAAGTTTGGTGACTTGAATTACTATAAAATTGCAAGTTTGGTCACTAGAATTACTATAAAATTTAACGTTTGCCACTAAATTAATTTATTCTATCTCAGATAGTTGACCATTAAATGAGTGACGTGGCAAATAAAAAAATAAAAAATAATATTTTTTCAAATTTCCACCCCATTATACAAATTATTAAGAAATAAAAATAAAATTTAATTATCTAATGAATCATCCCTACCCACCCCTCACCGCCATTCGTAGCTCTTCCCCCTACCTCTCTCCGATCACTCCTAGTTGCAACCCACCATCGTCTTCAACCTCCATCGTCTCATTCAGACCCATCACAACTCCTTCTCGGCCGAGGAGGACCGTTGCCGAACAAAATCCAGCTCGTTGTCAAGGCAATGGGAGCCGCAAAGAAGGGATGTAGTGGACATTGTTCTTTGGACGCTCTGTTGATAATTGCCAGAGCCAGAGTTTCCTACTGAAAATGACTGGTTTCATGGCAACGCTCGCGGATGTGATTCGTGAAGGTAACAAAGAGTTTTCATCGTCGATGGTGGAGTTTATTAGAGATAATTGAATTTTTTAATATTTCCCCACTACACTTTCTGTTCCTAAACCTAAGGAACGTGCACAGCAGCCTGTTGCTAGTGCTCCTGTTTTGTCTCGCAAATCCTGTATATTAACTTTTGCTGTATCAATGAGAATAATAACTTCGATTCTCTGTAATCACAATATCTTCAATCTCCAACATGGTATCAGAGCTAGCAACGATCAGCTAGAATTCGATCCATACCACATCACTTCCCCTGTTCTCCATTTTTCCTTTCTTCTTCGTTTTGATTATCACACATCCTCTTTCTTTTCTCTCTGTCGTTACGCATCATGGCAGGAGATTCCACAGCCTCTGATTCAAGCAATGGATCTAAACCTTCTGACTCTCAAATTATTACCTTCAATCCAGCTGGACAGCTTCCCTTGAAGCTGACCCCAACGAACTTTGCTTCCTGGAGATCCCAGCTGGAGACTCTTCTAATGGGGCTTGATTTGATCGGCTACATCGATGGATCGACAGTTGCTCCTTCCCAAACAATTACCGTGGATGATGCCACAATCTCGAATCCTTCTTATCGCAACTGGTTCAGGCAAGATAAACTTATCCTTCATGCCCTGCGGTGCTCAATTGATGAATCCATCTATTCTTTTGTCTCTGCTGCTTCAACCGCTCGAGGTGCCTGGTTGACTCTAGAGAAGCTATATGCGAGTAATGCTCAATCGCGTATTATTCATCTTAAAGGGAAGCTTGCAAAATCGGTCAAGGGAAATCAAGATATTCTTACATTTGTTAATGATCTTAAAACAACAGCAGCTGAACTCGCCCTTGTCGGCGAGCCGGTGAAAGATATTGATCTTGTGGTTCATTGTCTTCGAGGGCTAGGTGAAGCCTACCAGTCCTTCTCTGCAGCTGTTCGCGCTCGTGTCCCAGGGCTTACCCTTGAAGATCTCGTTGAATCTCTCGTGGAGTATGAGGCCGATCTAAAAGCTCAGCAGCCCACCGCCGTTCCCACCGTCTTTTACTCTCAGCATCAACGACCTGGCGGCGCCTCTCGTAATCGTCCTCAACACAGCGCCGCTCCTCCGCCCTACACTGCTGTTGCTCCGTCGCGACTGGGCCCTGGCCTTCTTCAGCGGGCTTCTGGCCCAACTCCTTCATATCACTCCGGTGGACCCTCTCCTTCTTCCCCACGCAGGCCGCGTTTGATTTGCCAATATTGCGAGAAACCTGGGCACTCTGTGCGCCAGTGTTTCCAGCTTTTTCCGTCCGCCCGCCCAGCTTCCCCCCGCCAGGCCCAAGCCCAAGCCCACGTGACCACTGGTGTTGCTCCCCACAACGGGCCGTCTGGCCCAACTCTCACCCCACCCAGTCCATGGTTATTGGACTCGGCTGCATCCCACCATATTACTGCTGATCTTGGGAATTTGTCCCTTTATTTAGACTATACAGGACCGACGAGATAATTATAGGCAATGGCTCAGGTTTGCGGATTAGCCATATTGGCTCTTCTCACCTCTCAACTGGATTACATACTCTTTCCTTGCAAGATGTTTTACATGTTTCTGCCATTAAAAAGCATCTTATCTCTGTGGCTCAATTGTGTCGTACTAATCCAGTGTCCGTGGAATTTTTTGCCACGCATTTTGTTGTGAAGGATCTTTGCACAGGGGCGCCGCTGTTGAGAGGGGAAAACAGAGGTGATGTGTATGAATTGCCGCCGGAGTCGGAACCTGTTCGTATGGCTCTTGTTACCACTCGCACTTCCACAAATGCATGGCATTCCAGACTTGGTCATCCTTCCGATCAATCTCTTCGCAAGTTACTTCGCACTCATTTGCTTCCAATTTCTTCAGCTTCCTCTCTTAGCCATTGTGATGCTTGTCTCTCTAATAAATCTCATAAACTTCCATTTGGTGTTTCCACCCTTTCGAGTGCTAGACCTTTTGATCTTCTCTATGCAGACGTTTGGGGTCCTGCCCCTGTTTCATCTATTGATGGTTTCCAATATTATCTAATTATTGTTGATCATTTTACTCGTTATACATGGTATTATCCCCTTCGTCGAAAATCTGATGTTCTTCCAGAATTTTTAGATCACCATGGTTGAGAATTATTTCTCCACTACGATTTGTCGTATTTACACTGATGGTGGTGGTGAATTTCAAAATCTCTGCTCTACCCTCCACGCTCATGGGATTAGTCACCTACCCACCCCTCCTCACACCCCTGAACACAATGGCTTAGCCGAACTCAAGCATCGTCACATTATTGAAACTGGTATCACTCTCCTCCATCATGCTCATCTTCCCTCCCTTTTTTGGTCCTTTGCTTTCTCCACCGCTGTTTATCTCATTAATCGTATGC